ACGAACGAGCTTATCAGGTTATGTTACTGTATTACGGAGCTGCGGTTGGATTCTACCAGGGGGTATGAGAAATTCCTTACCTTTTGGTGCTGCATATGCAATAGATGTGAACAATATCTCATGTTCTTGATCATTTTTGTGCAGGATAACATGAAATTAATGGATGACATGGTTGTGCTACGACCGACGATATTTTGCAGCGTCCCTAGACTGTATAACAGAATTTACGCAGGGTACTATTCCGATCGTTCAGTTGATTGTGCCTGGTATATTGATCGAATCATTTTATCGAGCTCTTCCTTTTTGCAGTATTATCAATGCTGTAAAGTCATCTGGTCCTCTAAAGGAGAGGCTTTTTAATGCAGCCTACAATTCCAAGAAGCATGCTATAATGAATGGTAAGTGTTTACATCTGTAAGTCGATGTTTTCGCCACGTTACTACACCGGTATGTATTGATTGTGTATAATTTTTTTCTTTAAGGAAAGAGTCCTTCGCCCCTGTGGGACAAATTAGTGTTCGACAAAATAAAAGCCAGACTCGGAGGACGAGTTCGCTTCTTGAGTTCAGGCGCTTCACCCTTGTCTCCTGACATCCTAGACTTCTTGAAGATGTAAGTTAATTTACTTTAAACATGTTGAATCGAGACGTCGGAAGTGTCTCCTATCGTTCTTGTCAATGTTTCTGTTATTGAATCTGCAGCTGCTTCGGTGGTCGAGTTGTGGAAGGTTACGGAATGACCGAGACTTCGTGTGTTATAACCAGTATGGATGAGGGTGACAACCTTTCTGGCCATGTTGGCTCTCCTATTCCATCGTGCGGTGAGTTATTATACGTGAGCTTCATTCAGGATGTTCTCTTCTTATTCTTTTTGCAACGATTCCAGAAATAAAGCTCGTTGATGTCCCGGAAATGAACTACACATCCGATGACAAACCGTACCCTCGAGGAGAAATCTGTGTTAGGGGTCCAATTGTTTTCCAAGGATATTTCAAAGACGAAGTGCAAACGTATGCTCCTCGGACATGACCCTTGACCCTTCTCTTCTAGAAACTTACTTATACTGATGTGTTTAAAACGTAAAAATGGGACAGGAGAGAGGTACTGGATGAAGATGGATGGCTCCATACCGGAGATATAGGCCTATGGTTACCCGGGGTCGTCTAAAGATCATCGATAGGTAAGGTTGAATATCAGTCAATGTGTATCTGTTCCCCGGACATGCTCATATCTAGATCTTTACTTGAAATTGCATATTGGTACAGGAAGAAGAACATCTTTAAGCTGGCTCAGGGAGAGTACATAGCTCCTGAAAAAATCGAAAATGTATGCTAAATGCAGATTTATTGCTCAGTGTTTTATTTACGGTAAGAGTAAGACGACAATGTTCGATCATTTCCTGCTCTTCTTTCACTCCTCTGTTGACGACTTGGATCGTTTTGCTTGTTAGGTGACAGCCTGAACTCTACATTGATTGCTGTCGTCTCGGTGGATCACGATGCCCTGAAAGCATGGGCTGATTCCGAAGGCATTAAGGTAATCCATCTACTGCTGTTTTACGTTACCACACATCGCTTGCTAACGTTATCCGGCAATGATGCATGCAGTACAATGATTTAGTACAACTGTGCAATGATCCGAGAGCAAGGGCCGCAGTCCTGGCCGATATGGATGCTGTCGGAACACAAGCTCAGGCAATACTTCTTGATGAACTCACCGTGTTTTCCATTTTTCGGCTATTTATCTTTCTGTTTCCTTCTTCGCCGGACCTTAATACTTTGTTTTCGATTAATCGACTTCGGAACAGCTGAGAGGCTTCGAATTCGCAAAAGCCGTGACATTAGTACTCGAACCATTCACAATGGAGAATGGTCTACTTACTCCGACCTTTAAGGCAAGTGACTACATTTTCTATCAACCTCATTGCCATGAACAAACTGAAACCGGCACGATATACTCTAATCGGTTTTCTTATTTTCGGCCAGATTAAGAGACCTCAAGCAAGGGAATATTTTGCAAAAGCGATATCGAACATGTATGCCGAGCTCGCTACGTCGGATCCGTCCCCTCGGAAGTAATCGCGGCGGCGATGCAATAAAAATGCAGATCACAGTGACCAAATTTGCCAAAGGCTCCCAACATTGGTCTAAGTATATGTTTCAATCCCATAGCTGAAAAATAAAAAACGGTTGATTTCTTTTCCGGTTATATTTTTCTTCTTTTCTTACCTTGTGTCACACTGTAATTTTCAAATCCATCTCACATTAGTCTCAAAAGTATTTTTCAATCCCAAAATTATAAATATTTCGATAGTTGGTATGTTTATTAGGGGTGTTCAAAAATAGTCAACTCGGATGATTCGATCCGTTGACCCGATCAAAAAATTCGGGTATTTTTTTTAAAAAAATCAAGTTCCAGATTGGGTACCCGGCCCGAAATTTCCCGGTCAGGCCCAAGTCACAAAATTAAAATTTTTCGTGTATAATAATATTACATATTTAATTATTGATAGTTTTATATATTAAATTAAACTAATAAAATTAAAAAAGGCGTATGCTTTATTTATATTATGGATTATTAGATTTTGAATTTTTAAATTCTATGTTTTATATATTGGAGTATGTAATTTGATCATTTAAATTTGTGTAGTTTTTTTAAATTAATAATTTGAAAATGATAAAAAAATTAGGTACTCGATTATCTGGATTACGGGTACCAGTAACATCTGGGCCGACCAATCCAGTACCCAATGACCCAGGTACCTAGAACTTTAAATACCTGAAAATCCGGTACTTGGATTTGAACACCCTGATGTTTATGAAGAATAAAGTAATTATTTTAAATGTAAAATATACAAATGATCATTTGACTATAAAATATTATTTTATTGAGTATTTCGACTTTTAAAAATTATATAATGATCTATATGGCATTGTTTTTTAAGTCCCTCAACTAATAAATGTTACAAAATGATCACCCGACTATTCAATGTATTTCAAACTTGTCCTTTTTCGTTAAAAATATAGATGGTAATTTGAGCTCGAAGTTAACATGTTGACTGAGATATGATAGTCATTTAAGATTCTAATTGAATTCATTATTATATCATATTTAAGTCAGCAAGTTAACGTCCAACTTAAATTGTCATCAATGTTTTAACGAAAAATGAAGAGTTTGGAACACAATGAATAGTCGAATGATCATTTTGTAACTTTTAATTAGTCAAAGAACTTAAAAAACGTCTTATAATTGAAATATCATTTTATAACTTTTTAATAGTCGAAAGACTTAATAAAATAATATCATATAGTCGGGACCATTTATGTATTTTACCCTTATAATTAGTAGGAGTATATGAATTTTATTTTAAATTATTCGTTTATATTTTGACATTAAATGAATTATTCAAAAAATAAATTAAATTAAATGAGTATTCAGTTTTAAATTAATACATGAATATTTTTTGGTTTAAAATTTAGTGGAGGAAATGGCTGCAAAATTCGTGGAAGGAAGCACTTCCACGTAAAAGAGGAAATAATAAAGTTCCCAATTTCGTAAGTGGAATAATAACAGGAAACAGACGGGACCTATCTGGTAATGTCATGAAAATAAGGCTTTATTACATAAACGGACACCTGAATTATGTTCTTTCTTAATGTAATATTATAATTTTTTTATTATCTCAAATTGATACCTTGAATTGAAAAGCATACTCAAATTAGTATCTAAATTTGAAAGAAAAAAATCAAATTGATATTTGGTACCAATGTGATATTTTAATACTGAATTAGATTGTCAATTTGTATAATAGACTTAAAAATAAAGGATAGCTTTCTCATACTTCTCTAAATTATCATTCATGGTCAATTAACAAGTGTAAATTATGCGTTTAGTACATAAATTATCAATTTTAATTTGTTTTAGTACATACTCTTTTAATTTTTTTAAAAGCATGCCTAAAGTTTAGTTTTTATTTCATTTTAGCGTCTCATTCAAAATTTAATGTTAAGTTTTGAAAAAAGTAAAAGTTTAGGTGCTAAAACAGATCAAACTTGATAGTTTAGGTACTAAGCGTGTTAAGTTTTTAACGATAATGTACTAAAATGAAACAAAAACTAAATATCAAGTATGATGTTGAAAAATTGAAAGTTTAGGTACTAAACAAACTAAAACCTATAGATTGGGTACTAAATGCATAGTTTACTCATTTAAAATGTTTTAATTGAGTGTTTAAAGTATCAATATCTTATATTAATTTAATCATTTCCTTAACTTTGTAATTACTTAGAATGATTTGTATGGAATTCGTGTTCCCCCCCCCCCTTCATTTATTAAAAAAATATGTGAATTAAATTTAAATGTATGTACGAATTTATCACAAAAATAAATTTAATATAAAAATTGATAAAATTGATCATTTTTTTTGAAAAATATTATTTTAAATCTATTAGTTCTAAATTGGTTATATAATAAGTATGAATATTTATAAGCGTAATTTACATATTTAGTACTTTTACTATCAATTTTTTGTTTCAGTACCTAAACTTTCAATTTTTTCATAATCATACCCTGTTCAAAATTTAACATTAATTTTTGAAACAAATTGAAAGTTTAAATACTAAAAAGGACCAAAATGATAGTTTAGGTATTAAACGTGTTAAGTTCTTAACGGTGGGTACCAAATGAAACAAAAACTAAACATTATGTATAATTTTGAAAAAATTGAAAATTTAAGTACTAAAACAAACCAAGAATGATAGTTTAAGTATTAAATATATAATTTAGCCTATTTATAAATTGATCTGTGTGATTTAGAAATTTTTATATGAAATTGAACTTGTATTTGAAGTTTCAATTCACAGTTAGGTCAAGAAAATGATTTAATTAGAATATTTTGAAGTATGAGGACTGGTTTAGAATTCGGGTCATAGATAGAGAACTAAAACTGAAGGAAAGAAAAACCGAACAGTCACGCTCAATTGTAATCTTTGTTGTTCAAATCCCAATATTATTCTCATTAGTAAGATCCTCCTTTCTAATTTTTTCTTTTTAATTCGTAATAATTTGTTCTTGAGAGCTTTGATTGTGGAGTAATCTCGTGGAAGCTTAAAACTTAGGAATTTTTAAGGTTCAATAGATCGATCGATTTGAATCGATCATGTTATCGAATCATTTCGAAAACAGATCGGAAACGGCGAGGTTTGCTTGGTCTCGGCTTCCGCATGCAGACGACGGTGAACTCGACGGAGTCGGACTCTTGAGTACGACTACAAGCAATAGGAACGGCGTCGAAAGCCTTGATTATGAAGTTATTGAAAATTACGCTTATAGAGAAGAACATGTACTCTTTTTAATCATACAAATTATACAAATTACAGTTCAGCTTTCTTTTTAAGTTATTGAAAATCCTTTTTTAATAGGTTTGATCTGAAATTCAATTCAGGCTCAACGAGGACAGCTTTTTGTTATATATAACGCGGGTGTTAAGTGGTTCTTCGCTTTGCTCATCGGCATTGGTAAGTTGTTCTTTCTTCATTGGGGAAAAGAGAAGGAAAAATATAATTTCAGTTGTTTTGCTGATTTTAACGTTTTTAAGATGAATTTCCTAGTGATGGATTTGAGTTGGGGACGAGTAATAGTTATTTTAGTTTCATTTTATTGATTTTTTTTACTACTACTAGCATAGAAAGAGTAAAAACTTTAGAATCATATTTTTAGATTCAGATTATATGAGAAATAGACTATTTTACTTTGAGTGGTGAATACTACTTGACCTGCAAAATTAAGAACTTGTATATTGTACTGCTTTAAGTGACAATTCTTATATCATTTTTACAATATGTTATTTGGTAGTGTGGATGACATATGTTCTCTTGATTGATTTCAGGTACTGGATTAGCTGCTGTGTTTATCAATATTTCAGTTGAGAACTTGCTGGATGGAAGTTTGCCTTGATTTTTAGCATAATACAGAAGTCGTATCTGGCTGGCTGTCTAATTTACATCTTAATCAACTTAGCTTTAGTCTTTTCTTCTGTGTATATCATCACCCAATTTGCACCGGCTGCAGCAGGATCTGGTATTCCTGAAATTAAGGGCTACTTGAATGGTAAGTTTTATGTTTTTTAATCTCTTTTGTTCCTATACTCATTGATGAGCTATCCCCAAGTGTTGAATAGTCTGACAATCCAATTCTTATCTTACCTATCAGGAGTTGATATTCATGGTATCCTTCTTTTCAGAACTTTGATTGGAAAGGTATGATAATCTTGCCAGTATGATGTTGCAACTTTAGATTAATCATAAATCAGTTGTCACTTTATATACCCATGACGTGCGCTTTTAATAAAAACCATTAAGACAAGATTTTTGAAATCCTATGAAATCAGATTGGGTTTCAGGTTTATCAAACCATAACCTGCCTTTAATATGCCACTACAACTATTTCAGTTGCGTTCTTCTCATTGTAATTTGCAGATATTTGGAAGTATTGGTTCTGTTGGAGGTGGTCTAGCTCTGGGCAAAGAAGGTCCTCTTGTCCATATTGGTGCTTGTATTGCTTCTTTACTTGGACAAGTAAGCACTTAGCGATCGATGTATGGTAATGCTAGGGTATAATTCAATTCAATTTTGTCTTAAAATTTCATGATTTTATAGCAATCAAGTGATTGTATTACTGGGCTTGCTAGTTGTTTTTATGGTTTATCTTACAACCATTTATTGATTTCAGTCTGAATGCAATAGTAGTGTATTTTAACAACTGTATCTATGTTGTTTGGTCTCCAAACTTTAATATTCTTTATGTTGTATGTATGGCATCTCTTCAAGAATTTGCAATGCATGCTAAATTTTCTTTCCAATGTTCTATGTTGACCCAGGGTGGATCCACAAAATACCATCTGAGTTCCAGTTGGCTTCAAGGTTTCAAGAGTGACCGGGATCGGCGGGATCTTGTGAGTATAAGAATAATTAATTGATTGATACTTCTGGAAAGGATATATATCAGAACGCCTTTATGGATTTTCTCATTGTGTATGTATAGCTGTTCAAAACGAATCCTCCTAGGATGCAGTTTTACTCCCTGACTTCCAAATCATCCTATTTCTGTATAGTTTCACTATCTCTTTTGTTGTAATTCTAATGATTTTTGCTTTAATTGGAAGTTATATTTGATTATGGTCTACCAATTTTCCTAACAATGAAGATTATATACTTCTAAATTTTCTAATATTTATTTCGAAAAGGTGACCTGTGGCTGTGCAGCTGGAGTTGCTGCTGCTTTTAGAGCTCCTGTTGGGGTGTATTATTTGCATTAGAGGAGGTTACATCTTGGTAAAGAAGTTCTGTTCTTTAACTACTATTTAAATATATGCACAAGCATGTTACTTTAGGACTAAATTGTTCAAATTAATTTTCTTTTATGTATCTTCAGTTTCACAATTATAATTTCTTGCCATTCATGTGTAAGTGCAGATATAGATCTGTATGGATATATGTTTTGTGCTTATGTATATTTTCGTATTCAACTCTAACCTTCATAGCATCTGATCTTTGCTTTTGAAGGTGGAGGAGCCAACTAATGTGGCGTGTCTTTTTCACTTCTGCAATTGTGGCTGTTGTTGTGCGAGTTGCTATGGGATGGTGTAAAAGTGGAAACTGTGGACATTTTGGTGATGGTGGCTTTATTATATGGGATATATCAGAGTAGAATCTTCCTTATACTCTTGTATATTAACCCCCAAACTTTTTGCTCAGCTTTAATCTTACTGCTTCAAAACATTTTTTTTCCTTTTCCTTTCATCCTGTGTAGTGGTCAAGAGGACTATTCTTTTGAGGAATTATTGCCAATGGCACTTATTGGGGTCATTGGAGGTCTTCTAGGTAGAGCTTTTGAATTGGGTTTCACATCTGTTATTATCTTAATCTTAGTTTCTTTTAATTAACTTTTGATTAATATCTGTTTTTTTATTATTTATTGAGCCCAGGAGCTTTGTTTAACCAACTTACTCTATATGTGACTCGCTGGAGACGTAATTATTTGCACAAGAAAGGGAATCGAGTTAAGGTGATGAATTCCTCTAACTGTAGAAGCTGCTTGGGCTCTTAAAGGGCATATCTAATGTCTTTAACTACTGCTTACCCTACTGGTTGTCTGAACAAATCATTGCAGATATATGAAGCATGCCTCATCTCTGTTTTAACGTCAGTTATATCTTTTGGACTACCACTACTAAGAACCTGCAGTCCATGCCCAGACTCTGAACCTGGCTCTGAAATTGAATGTCCAAGGGCTCCCGGAGTGGATGGGAATTATGTGAATGTAAGATATGCTCATATAGTTACTGTATGTATCAGCTTGATGCATGATATGCCAAACTTTTCCTTTCCAGTCGTGATGTTTCTTCCCTTAATAAAGGCTTTTTCTGTGCAGTTTAAATCTATAGGTAGAATAGTTCAAACTTGATTGTGTTTACTGAATGCTAGAATATATGAATCACAACTTTAAGCAACTTTGCGGTCAGTTTTGGTTGAAGATTATCTCGATTTCTAACTTTGGTGCTGATTTTCTTTGTTCTCACTTTTTCTCTTCTGGGTGCATTTATCTCAAGAGCTACCTTTGTAATGCAATAAATATAGTATTATTTTTCAGATGAGTGGTTATTTCAAAGAGCAGGAGGAAATCTTTTGTTCTTATTTTTTTTTAAGTTTTGATTGCAAATTTACATTACGGTTATTTTTCCTTAATTGATTTATGTTATCTGCAGTTCTACTGCAGTAAGGACAAGGAATACAATGATCTTGCAACTATCTTCTTCAATACTCAGGTCTCTAATCTTTTGAGATACATTCTTGCCATTGATAACCTACTTGCCTTGTAGTTTCTATATTAACAGGTGTTATATCTGTCACAGGATGATGCCATCAGGAATTTGTTTAGTGCAAAAACAATTCACGAGTTCAGTGCCCAAAGCTTGTTGACATTTTTGGTAGTGCTCTGTAAACTTGTTGACTTCCTTACAAGTATACTTATAATGTATTTTAAAACCCTATTCCTTACAAGTATACACCCAAACTCAGTGGCCAATGTTTTTTAACCTTAAAATTATTCATGGTCTGACTTTTTCCCTATTTTCAAATGATTTATTTCAGGTTATGTTCTATACCTTAGCCGTAGTGACATTTGGTACTGCTGTTCCAGCTGGTCAATTTGTTCCTGGAATAATGATAGGATCAACATATGGTCGTCTTGTTGGTATTTTACTGTTAACCATTACAAGAAACTGAACATTGAAGAGGGAACGTAAGTAAATTGTTTACTTGTCCGGAATTTGAATAATTATCTATATTCCTAGGTATTATGATTTTACTCATTTTTCTTCTCCTGAGAGAAAATGATGATTCATGAACATAATGGGAAAAAATTAATAATTTGAGTCATAAACAGCAGAAGAATAAATCTGAAATATACTTGTTATTTGTGCATGCGTTGGTGGGTGGCTGTATGAAAGATTAAATTATGCAATATTCTATGCCCATGAAATGATCTATTTTCAAATTTCAGTGTTAATTATATGGCAATGCTAAAGTGCTTTATAATTTGATTGATTTGCAGATACGCACTTCTAGGAGCTGCTTCATTTCTTGGGGGTTCTATGCGTATGACAGTATCACTGTGTGTCATTATGGTCGAAATCACAAATAACTTGAAATTTTTACCGCTTATTATGCTTGTTCTTCTCATATCTAAGGTATTTATTTGAATATCGGTAGTTTTGTTGATTCTTACTTGATGTAATTTAACAAGTCCTCTCTTTTTGCCTCCCAGGCTGTTGGAGATGTTTTCAATGAAGGTTTATATGATGAACAAGCACGATTGAGGGGCATTCCATTGCTGGAATCAAGACCCAAGTACGAGATGCGGAAAATGACTGCCCAGGAAGTCTGTGGGAACCAGAAGGTTTGTTGATTGTGTTAATTTCAGAGAAAGACGAAAACTAAAAACAGAATTCTTCCCATTTGTGTGTATTAGCTTTGAAGAATTGAAAAAACTATCTAGGGAAATAGTCACATTGATAGCCTAATTACAAGCTAATTGCACCCTATAGCCTAAAGTCAGCCAACATAATCACTAAATTTCAAGTTTTAATTTGGTCAACAGTTTGACCCTTTTAAATTATGTTTCACTGGCAAAACCGAACTATGTGAACAATTATTTTCTTAAAACAGTACAACTTTGACCTGGCTCCTATGGTTTGACTCCCAAGTCCTAAACAGCTTATATTTCTACCTTCCAGGTTCTTTCACTTCCTCGGGTTGTAAAGGTTGCAGACGTGGTTTCCATTTTGCAAAGCAATAAACATAACGGCTTTCCCGTAAGCTAAACTTTCGTATTACTTGTTTCTCTTGTTCAATATCAGCAATTTTGAAACTTGTTTAATTTCACCTACCTAGGTGGTTGATCACATGAGAAATGGAGAGCCACTTGTCATCGGAATTATGCTTCGAAGGTATAACAAACTTATTTTCGCCCCTTGATGTTTTAGTCTTTATTTTGAAGAGCCAACGCACACTCGAAAGTACTAACTTCTGCATTTGTTTATAATGCAGTCACCTACTGGTACTTCTTCAATCCAGGATTGATTTCCAGCATAGTCCTTTACCCAGTCATTCCACTGGTGGATCCAGAGCAATTAGGTGAGTCGAAATTCGCTGTATTTAAGATTTTATTGTGCCGTTCTGTCTTTTTTCTTCCCTTTAAGCTCACATCAAAATATCCCGTTATTTGTAGGCCTAATTACAGTGAATTTGCTAAACCTGTTTCGAGTAAAGGAATATCAATAAATGATATCTACCTTAGTTCGGACGACTTAGAAATGTACATAGATCTTGCACCATTTCTGAATCCTTCACCGTATGTGGTACCTGAAGATATGTCTTTAACAAAGGTGAGGTTTTAATCGCAGATTATCGTGTTTGTTTCCTATGGTCTATGCTTGTTGTATCTCGTAATGTTTTCAATGTTTGCGGTGATATAGGTCTACAATCTTTTCCGACAACTGGGATTGAGACACATATTTGTTGTTCCTCGTGCATCTCGAGTGATCGGTGTGATCACTAGAAAGGATCTGCTGATTGAGGAGGTATTTCAAGCTTGCATCAATATTTTCTTATCTAAACTCGGACTGCACTAATCGAACTTCGATCTTTCCCATTGCAGGGAGCTGAGTATTCAACTACCACGGAGCTCCAGTCTACTAGTGTAAGGTCTCTATGCTTCTTTACTTCTGTTTATAGATTTAACTTCTGCCATCATGACACAAATTCAGCAGCAACCCATACTTCTTTACTTCTGGTTTATCTAAACCTAGCAATTTATACACGACAACACGAAAATTTAGCGCGAACATAATGCGAATACATGAATGCATTGGTATATATACGAGATGAATGACTAACGTGTCAAAATTCATATACATAATAACTTAACCAAGATTACTTGGAAAATACCCAGCACAACACGGATGTATGAATTGCTAGATTTAGTTTCAACCCTTGATGATTGACTAACGTTGGTACGTACATACATATATATTTATGTATGTATATATATATATATTTGCGTATGTCAGTGGTCAGCGACATGAGAGACTGCCGGCGGCGGAGAATGGTGTGGATTTAGACCGGCCACTTCTGAATGGTCTTTTGGTTCAACATCAAAGGTGAAGGTCATATTCCTGCTCCATTCTTCTATTCTTTTTGGTTCTACCATCCGTGACCCTTCTGATCAGATTCTTTATCTATGAATCTCAGTAACTAATATTTTGTATCATTAAAGAAAAACTCATATATAGGAAAGTTCGATCGATATGATATATATTTTTATTATTTAAATTATTCGAGTTATATAAATGTTGATCTCATTTGTACAGTTCAAATGAGAAGACGTTATTTAACAAAATCTATTTATTCGATTCATAACTTGAATAATTCCAAACTTTAAAATTAAAATATATTTTATGAATTTGAATCTAATTTTAAAATAAAGGGTAAAGTACAAAAATAGTATCGACTATATGGTGTCATTTTATTGAATTTAACGATTATTAAAAGTTATAAAATAGTATTTTGATTATAGGATATTGCTTTATGAGTCTATTGACTATTAAAAATTATAAAATGTTCACTTGACTATTCATTATATTTTAAACTCATGATTTTCCGTTAAAAAAATAACAACAGTTTGAGTTGGATGATAATTTGTTTTATGAGATATGATAGTCGTTTAAGATTCTGGGATCAGATTTTATCGTATCTCACATAGTATATTAATATTCAGTTTAAATTGTTGTCAATTTTTTAATAGAAAATGATGAATTTGGAACTTAATAAATAGTCGGGTGATTATTTTGGAAATTTTAATAGTCAAGGGATTTATAACAAAACAATATCTTATAGTGAAATGACTATTTTATAACTTTTAATAATCTGATACTCAACAAAATAACATCATATAATCGGGAACTATTTGTATAATTTATTGTAAAATAACTTAATACAACATTTTAAATATATAAAAATTAAAAAGACTGTTAATTAAGATAAAGGAAAAGAAACTTAAGTGAAGATGCATCGTTTTCAATTTTCATCGATCGAGTTTTTTCATTTTTCATTTAAAAAAAGGTAACTTCAACTTGTTCGATTAAAAAATCAAAATGCGACTGATAACATTATTAATAGAATTCCATCGAATTTAAATATATGATATTTTAGAGTTAATTGCACCATATTGTCATCAAACTATGACCCTCAATTTTAAATTGATCTCTAAACTTTTTAATGTTTGAATGTCATCCTTAAACTAAGACTATCATTTTAAATTACTCCTCAAAGTTTTGAACATTTTAATTTTATCCCCAAACTATGACCCTCTTTCTAAATTGGTCCCAAATGTTCTGATCATTCCAATTTCATCCCAAATTATATGTATATATTGATCACATTCCTTGTTAATAAAATTGATAGGTTAAGTTACGATGAGACTGATTACATGTTCAAATGGATTCGAGGATGAAATCATAATATTTAAAAGTTTGGGGAATAATTTGGAAAGAGTGTCACATTTTAGGGATGAAAATAGAATGTTTAAAAGTTTAAGAACTAATTTAAAATGAGAGTCTTTGTTTGGGGATTAAATCAAAACATCTTGAAGTTTAGGGATCAATTTGAAATAAGAGTCATGGTTTAGGGACGAACGATGCAATTAACTCAATATTGAAAGGTAGTATAATGAGTTAGTTAAAGAATAATAAAAAATTTGGTATTCCGAGGACTGACTCAAAGCACGTCCTTGTTGAACAATAAAAAATAAATATAGCAAAGCACATCCAGGTCTTGCGTGGTGATAATCAAGAGAGTATAATATAAAAAATGCAATTTTTTAAATATTATAAAAATGTAGTGGTTGAATTTTAATTTGCTGAAAGTTCAGATACCAATGTGTAGGCGATTTCCAAGGAGCTTCAAGTGTTCTGCAATTTATTTTAGGGTAAAGTATAGTAATGGTCACTGAATATTTTCTGAAGCTTGCATTTAGGTCCTTCAACTTTTAAAATTTGCAATACAGTCCCCCAACATTTATTCCGTTTGTACTATAGTCCCCCAACTTAAATCACTGTTAGAAAATTAGGGTAAATTATATAAACGGTCATTAAACTTTTCAGGCACTTGAATTTAGGTCCCCAACTTTTAAAACTTACAAAACAGTCCCCCAATAATTTTATTTTCTTATTAAATATAGATGTATAGAAAATATGAATGATTCAATTTATATTTAAATGTATGAATCATTTATATTTTTGATATATTTTATTTTTCTTGTATAAACTAGTATTTAAAATATGTTTATATTTTAATCAAAATATTTCAATATACGAATAAAAATATATTTATATAAATGTATATTTATATTTAGATGTATAAATAAAAAAATATATTATTCATATATTAATGTATGAATCATTTATATTTTTTGAATATTTTATTTTTAATAAGAAATTAAAATTATTAATTATATTAGAAATACTCAACTTAAGATTATATATATAAACATGAATTATAAATATGAAAAATATAATTATTAAATTTAGTTTAAAAGTATATAAATCTTAAATTTATTCTTTTAAAATATTGTATCAACTAATATTTAAAAAATATATTAAATCTATCAAACAATTTATCAAATATAATATTTTTATTGTAAAAAATATAATATTTTCCCATCATTTATTGCTTTCAAATTTTTTGCCGAAGTTCAAATCTCATTATTTCCATTTTCCATTATATTCTTTTTTTTCTGGCATTGGTCATACTATTAGTATATGTATTATGTATATCTCTTAACACAAACGATGGTGTTAGCTTAGTGGCTCCACCCTGTATCTTTCATTTGCGTGACTCAGGTTTGAGTTTGCCCAAGACCCAAATTTTACTTCTTTGTAACTTAATTTTCTTCTAATTAGGTGGTGACATATGTCACCAATAACATATATCATGATCATGTGTTAACACATGTCAGATCCTGGTTAAATGATTAATTTATTAAATTTTATTTAATTTAGGACCAAATTGATAGCATATATAAATAATTAGGTGGTGACATGTGTCACCAATGACACGTGTCATGATCATGTGCTAACACATGTCAGATCCTAATTAAATGATTAATTTATTAAATTCTATTTAATTTAGGACCAAATTGATTATATAAATAATAAAGACTGAATGTATAATAATGTCAATTCCTTTTAACTGCCACTTCATCATTTGTATCAATTGGTAACGACTAGTGGCTTAGTTGAAACAGTTAAATAATTATGTTGTATGATTGATAAATTTAAAAGATCGATGACAAAAGTAAAAAGGGCTAGATAGTTAAGTTGTCAACCTAGTAGTTTACACTTTTATTTATACGTCAAAATAACATTTTATAAATTTAAAATTCGAATTATTTTAAACCTCTTCTATATCCTAACTACTTTTTTTAATTAAAAAATTTCTTCAACAAATAAGAATTATACTATTATATTTATATAAAAAAATATGTATCACATGAAATAAGATGAAATTAAATAATAATAAATCTGACATAATTGAATTATTTTGGAATTTAGGGTTTAGAATGAAATTGAATTACTTTGGAAATTGGGGTTTAGAATGAAATTGAGGACTGTTTTGCAAGTTTTAAAAGTTGGGGGACCTAAATTCAAGTGTCTGAAAAGTTCAATAACCTTTTATATAATTTACCCTAATTTCTAATGGTGGTTTAAGTTTGGGGACCATATTGCAAACGGAATAAATGTTAGGGGACTGTATTGCAAGTTTTAAAAGTTGGGGGACCTAAATGCAAGCTTCAGAAATGTTCAATGACCATTACTATACTTTACCCTTTATTTTAAAAATAAAAGTATCGAACTTTAACTAAAAAAAAGCTTATTATTATTATTGTTATTATTATATAAGAAATTAAAATTAAATTATAATTATGATTAGAAATCAACTCCCACTTTAAAAATACCAAAACGATTTTTGACCAACATTTTTTGTCATTGACACCGTTCATTCCTACTACGTGGATGCTTTCTCAAAGCTATTACGAATGGATTATTATTTGTGGCTATTGATAAAGATGAAATAATTAGTTTCCGGTTGTGTGGCCAGTTGTTGAGGGGGTGGAAAAGAATCAAATAAATGAATTTTGTAGAAACTTATGGTTGACTTAAAGCATACTAATAACGAATGACTTATACTAATGTTGGTCAATGACAAAAAACGTTGGTCAAAAGGTCACATCAAGAGCTTTTTTTTTAGTTTGAGGGTCACGTTGAGAGAGAAAATGGTACGAATACCACATTAATAATAAAATTACGGGTAAATTACAAATTTTGTAACCGGACTTCACTCTCTCTCCTATTTCACTCATTGTACTTTAAATCTTTTCAATTTCCTCATTGAACTTAATACATTGGATTTTTTGGTCACTCGACCGTTAAATAGTAAAGGTGTTAAAATGAGATATTATATAGATAAAACAACATCGTTTTAGTGAAAAAATTTATTTTTTGAAAACGACATCAATTTTAACTTTGTCTATTATTTTACAACGGAATGACCAAAATAGGAGAGAAAGTAAAGTTCAGTGACCACAATGCATTAAGTTCAATGAAGAAATTGAAAATTTTTAAAGTTCATTGAGCAAAATAAGAGATAGAGTAAAGTTTAGTGATGAAATTTGTAATTTACCCTAACATTATATGGTATAATAAATATATATAAAATAATTCCAAATATTAAAAAAATAGTATAATAAATATATAATAATAATATTAATAAAAAATTCGAATGTGGAGGACTGACTCAAAGCACGTCCCTATTGGGGGGAAAATCAAAGCAGATCCAGCTCATGTGCAGTGGGGATCAAAATAGTATAATATATAAAAACATATACAATATGTGCAATTTGTACTTCTCTTTAATATTTCGCAATAATGATATTATAAAATATACTCCTTCATTTTGGTGTGCTGAAAGTTCACGATCCCACAAATATATATTTTATTTCACTTTCACATAAACATATATTTTTATAAATAAAAAATATTTTTAGATAAAATTTTGAGATTTATGATTTTCGGTCTAAAAAAAATAAGAGACGGTGAAAAAGGATTCTTGTAATTAAAATATTTAAAATCATTTAATTTTTGGTAAAAATATATCAATAGTCTCTGTTCATTTTGAAAAAAAAATCAAAGTAGACATCGTATTATTTTTTTTCTCTCAACGTGG